AGGAGGTGCTGTAGGCATAGATGACAGGGATTAGGAGGGGTGCTGTAGGTATAGATGACAGGGATTGGGGGGTGCTGTAGGTATAGATGACAGGGATTGGAGGGGTGCTGTAGGTATAGATGACAGGGATTGGAGGGGTGCTCTAGGTATAGATGACAGGGATGGGGGGGTGCTGTATTTATAGATGACAGGGATTGGAGGGGTGCTGTAGGTATAGATGACAGGGATTTGGGGGAGTTCTGATGGTCTTAATACCACTGTTAAAATGTGATAACATTACCACGGTTATGGGAGTTTTAAAAAGATGCAATTTTCATTCAGATTTGGAAAACAGTGGTTCTTTCACAGGTTATGACAGGTAGCCACTGGGACAGCAAAGGCTTGTGTAGCGAAAGTTCTAGACCATGTTTGGAAGTAAGGGAGAATGGATGGGAGGCTTTAAAAACCCTTGTATTTGAGATCATTTGTAATAATCTCATTTTCCCTATTTTTTTTATCATTTTCAAAAGCAATTGGGGAATTTTTGCCTATTTTTGGTAAAGCTTGTAGTAAAATCCCCAGAAGTATTAACTTGAAGCAGGCAAAATTTGAAAAAGGGCAGAAGTTTGACAGGTTTAGACTAATATTCAGATGGGGGAGTATTGGATGTCCTTGATGCATCCCTTGACCAACTTGTTCCATCCAACGTTCTGCCAACAGGTGTCTGAGCTGACAAGCCAGTTGCAGAAGAATAAGATGACAACATTTAAGCTGACTCAAGGCCTAGAGGAAGCTATCGAGAAAGGTGAACAGTTGAAGGCAGAGGGACAGGACCTTGAGAATCAGATGGAAAGCATGCAGGTAATTAGACCTGAGAATTCTCAACATATATCATGTTGGATTACTTCCCTTGTACTTAGCTGTGCCATCATCTTGGGTACAGATGCTTACATAGAATCTGTACAATAAACAATCTGGTTACACTCGAGCTCGAGTCAGTAACAGTGAGCCAGTTTGGTATTGCAAAGAGCCAAGTGCACGCGTGAGTCAGCGTATGGCTACACTGATAGGACAGACGATTGCGTGAATGCCTAGCTGTTCCTGAATAGCCTTGTACTGGGCATGCTCTGTTGGAATACTGAAATGGGTTATTAGACTATTAGGGGATCACCCTGGGATTAAATTTGCAAAATGGATTTCAGGCTGTTGAAAGCAATGTATAGATACATATACTGGTTTATAGATCTGATCCCATTACAGGAGAATTCAGCTTTTCAGGAGATTTCACCTTTGTTTGAGTAGCTTTTTACTCTGAATTTCAGCGTGCTTGGTACACCTGCTCTGTATTAAATTATAGGAGCTTTTTGAATTTCAGTTTTTGGTTTTTTTTTGCTGCTGGCCATTTTCAGCTTTTTTTTCTTTGTAGCCATTCAAAGCCCTGTCATTACTTGTGGGAGAAACTTCTAAATTTAGTGTCACTTTTGTGATGGATTTAACAAAACCAAAAGTCACAGTTTCACTGCTTATATAAACAAAAGCATTAGCCTATACAGCTACAAGAACTAAATATGTATCGTCTCTCTTGTAGGCTAGCTGATGCCTAAAGATAGCGTGTACAAAACAGTTAAATATGCAGTGTAAACAACTGAGGGAGGAGCTTTGTTGAATAAGTGGGCGGCAGGTCAGCTGCTTTTACTCACAAGTCAAATTCAGAGGCAGACCTGTATTCAGAATTCTCTTACCTCAAGACCTAGTATGCACTTATTTGATAGTGCCATTTCTGTTACTAATCCTATCAAGTTGATATAATGTGGACAGGTGCAACATACCCATGAGAAGGTGAAACTAGAGGGTACCTTAGCACAGCAGACCAAGTTGATTGACTTCCTTCAAGCAAAAGTTGAAGCCCCGCCCAAAAAGAAGAAGAAGAGATTGTTTGGCAAATCAACGAAAGAGAGTAACATGTCGAGCATCCCCATGCAGGTAAGCTGTCTTTATTCTTCCCCAGGCACACCTGTTCATTAACTATTCTACGGAATATTGTTCTGAAACTGTAACTAGACAAATTTTATATTCACACACCTAAACTGTGTTAAATTATGTATTTTATTAACAAATGAAAAAAATGGAGAATTTGGTTAACAAATAGAGGCAAGTAATGTTAGAACATCATTGCATTTATCTAAGTCTCAATTGATTTGGTGTTAAACCTCAGTTATGGATGCATAAAGAAATTGTCAATTTGGAAGTTAGGCTCAGGTAAAAATGATTTTCTTTTCTCCATGCAGTACAAGGAGCTACAGCAGGCTTTGGAGATGGAAAGAAGCAGGAAACAAGACCTTCAGCAGCAACTGACAAAGACCAAGGCAGAGTTACAAGTAGCAAAGATGGAAGGTTGGTTGTACTATGCAACTCTTGTGATATAAGGCCATCATTTTGGTAGAGCTTTGAGTACTGTGTTTCTTCGCCTGGCTTATTTCCTTCAAGTAGTATTTGTTTTTCTTTAGCTGCTATAGGGCATCTGTCAAGATCAATTTTGTGCATATGAAGCCATCTGGCAATTTAGGATTTGCAAGCTGATGTGTGGTTATGAGGGAAATTGTTTCACGGATCTTAAGCCAGTAATATCCAAATTTAAGTTTGTATAAGTAGGCTACTTCAGAAGTAACTACATCTTTGTGGAGATAATAGTTTCACAAATCAAACCTTGTTGAAGGAGCCTAGTTAACACCTCAGGTATGCAAAGTTGAAATATGCGCTCATTTACTTGCAGGGAGAGAAAGGCATAGCTTAGATGCTTAGTCTTACATATGAATCCTCAGTCCAACCAGTGAGGTTGTATCTTTCCTGACGTTCATTCCTCTCCATGCCCAGCTAACTTGCCTTAATCTACATCTTGATTCCTTGTCTTCACATCTATGTAGCTGGTACCAAACCTCATTCAGACCTCAAGACTCCTAAGCCCTGCCATCAAGCCAATCCCCACCTGCTATCAGCCATTGTCCTGTCTCCAACCAACCAGCCAAGTCCTAGCCTCTTCACTCCGGTCCCCAATGCCAGGGCTAGCTCTAAGCGCAAGACAGCCCAGAGTGGCAAGGAGGCAAAACGCTTGAAGGAACGCATGAAGCACAACATACCCCATCGCCTGGTGACTGGACTGAATGCACGCGCCACCAAGTGTGCTGTCTGCGTCGACACTGTGCACTTCGGACGGCAGTGTGCCAAATGCCAGGGTGAGATTTCTGAAAATGACGCTTAAGTGTGCCAGAAATTATAATGAACACTTCTACCATGCTACATCAGGGCTCGAAATTATCGGACAAATGTGCCCGTTTGTCTCAGAAATGTGCCTGTGAATCATAAAGACGGGCACAAGTACTTACGCCCATTTGATTCCATTATTGTAATGAAAAATACATGTACCTGAACATTTTCAGTAGAAACAAACGGGACCCGTTTATTTCTACTTTTGTCATGAAAAATACCTGAACTTTTTGACTTCGGATCTTCGGACTTCGGATCAGCCTTGTCATGGAACCATAACACGGTAAATTTTCTTTTTATGATGCCACCAAGCGCACGCCACAGTTTCGCATGCAATGCATGCGCACGCATACCCGCAGCCAGTGTCATGATCTCGCTGAATGGTCTGCACAGTGGCCCTGTCTGAATTGGTACGGCTGGAATTTACACAAGATTGTATGGAAACTGGCTGCGACCACAACCTCCTGGACTCGTGCGTAAATTCAAGCCAAACCAGTGGATTCGGCTCAGACTTCAGTGTCGCTGGTTCCAGTCATAGCTTGAACATGTGGTTTTGAACCAGCGAAACCGAAGTCTCAGCCTAATCCACTCATTTTGAAAACGGTTGATTGTTGCCGTTAGTTCCTTTTTATGTCTGGGTGCATATGCACGGTTTAAAGGCTCGGCACCCGACTGTTGGGGGTCTTTGCTTTTTTTTTTCTTCAACATATGTCTTTAATATTGTATGGGAGCTCCTTGCTCCCATAAACTGACGTGGGATGACAGGTCCCTATGGCCATGTGAATCTCCTTGCTTTTGTCTCCCCTATGCCCGTCTCGCTGGGGTATGTTTCTATTTATGGCCTGCATCAATAATAATAATAAATTCAGCTGTCTAGGGAGCAAGTACTTGCTCCTGCTATAATTAGCCCAATTTTGAGCCCTGTACATGCACAGACTGACCTTGCTTGCTTGCCGTCTTTCAGTAACACCATCTGAGTAGTTTTTTCTATTGGGGACTTTGGGGAATGTTATCAACTTCATGGAGGAATAGGAGATGGTGTTTTTACCAAGAAATGACATCCCTTTGGTTAAGGATTTACCACATGCATGCAAGGGTGCATGCTTTTAGGTATTGTTTACTGAAAGGGGGATTTTCCATTGCTGTTAATTGCAGTGGCATTTCAATTTGTGTTTTTTTGTTCTCTCCTTGCAGAGTGTCACCAGGTTTGTCACCCCAAGTGTGCTCCATCTTTGCCCCACACTTGTGGCCTTCCGTCGCAGTATGTACAGCATTTCAGTCAGGCCATGCATTGCAAGACAGCTTCCCCCAAAGTGGGACCCATTGAAGGAGAGAGTGGCTCAGTCACCCTGCAGAGTTGGATGAAGATACCCAAGTATGCACATCTCATTTTGTCCATTCTCAGAAGAGAATTCCTAACCTCCACCCAATAGTGAATCCTTCATGTATGGTGTTCATCTTCACCACTTCAGGTGGGATGGTGTGTGAACACAGGGATTTTTCTGCGTCTGTGACACATTCTGGGGAATTCCGTTTGTAGTGCTGTGTAGCGCCTACACTCATCCTGATTCTTGAGTGATTTCCATTGAGTTTGTACACACACAGGCCAAAAGTCGGTGGAGGTTGATAGTGTGTGGAGCCCTCAAATGGCCGTTGGCCATGGCTGGGTGTTCTAGCAAATATCACTCAGCGGCAGTGTCTCCGAGTTTTGAAAAGATGATGACATGGTAGGACATGATGCAAAAACTGAACGAAAGACCACCAAGGCTCAGTATTTGGAAAGACCAACTTTGTAAAGGACTGAGGTTGTGGTATCTTGCCGTTTTTAAAAGTCAGGATTATTTTGCTGGAAAGTAATATCGCACTCAAGAAAAGTGTGACATGGGATAATACCATCAGCACCAAAACTCTCATTTGGGGCTTGCATCTTATGCAACAAATCTATGCTGCATCCGGGCGATATACGTATAGTATACTGTCCAGGAAATGTTATGCTGCTGTGCAACATTCCAAAAATTTCATAAATATCTCAGACAAGGACAAACACTTCTTTTCGGACCTCTTGGCGTATATTTTGTCACATCGTGAAGCAGTTGTTGAATTAGGTCCGTGGATATTTTGTGTATTGTTTGGAAACCTGAATTATACAACAGGCCATTAACATTAACAGTTGTCTCAAAGTTTTGACAGAGTTAAACTGGAGTTATGTAGTGATTTTTCTTTTTTCTTTTCGCTTTTTTGAGCTGTACCTTTCCATCTGTAACTTTCACAGCGTAGTCACTGTGCGTGTATATCACATCTGAATTGCTTATACTGATGATGTACATTTCAAATTCCTATAATGCCTAGTCCATTGAATGATATTTTTTTTTGTATTGTAATTCTGTACTGCAGGATTGGTAAATCTGGTTGGGATAAGAAGTGGGTTGTTCTAGAGGGAACCAAGCTATGCATCTATGACAAGGAGAACACCAGTGGTAAGACTCCAAACAAGACTTTATCCTTGCCTGTGGTGTTTGATTGACTGTTGGTTGTTTACTTCTGGGCTACGATATCGCAGTAACATCAGACTGTGTGATGTGAAACCAAAGATTGGACTCTTATATATAACAGGTTTGCCCTTACCCAACGTATATTAATAAGCACTGTATGCTCAGTGCTTGAGGGGGGGGGTTTCTTAACTCATACTTTTTAGAAAAGATAATATTGCAGGAGATCAAGTCTAAACTCAGGGGTGGCTTGCTACGTACGTTGCGAATTGTTTCAAGAGAATTAAGATACGTGTAGTTTGACCACTGGAAATATTTTTCAGGTACCTGTCAGCCAGTTGATGAGTTTGAACTGTGCCCATCTGATGGAAGGGTGACAGTCCATGCCGGGGTGACAGCAGTAGAGCTGAGAAACACCGCCTCCACAGATCTGACCTATGTCCTCCGCATAGAGTATCACCCCCATACCACCTGCTGGCCCGGCCGTAGTCTCTTCCTCATGGCACCCAGCTTCTCTGACAAACAGAAGTGGCTGATGACCCTGGAGTTTGTCATGAGTGAAGGTGCCGTGGGGGTCAAGGTGGCCAGAGATAATGCACGTCTCCTGGGCAATACCCTGCTGAGTTTGGAGGCGGAAAATAAGGTGGACATCAACTGCACCCTGCTACTTAGTCACGAGGTGAGATACGCATGAGTGAAGGGTTTTAGTTTTGGTCAGATTGTTTTTTACCACTCTCCACTCCTGCAGGAACTAAAAGTTTTTATATTTTTAGATCAGAACAATATCCTTTCGGTAGCAAAAAAATTACCTACTTGTCATAATCCCCAAATGATAATTTTGCCTGTATGGAAGGAGGTAATGGCAACTGTTTAACACAGTGCATGTATTTACTGCATCTATTTTCTTCATTGCTACCTTGTAAAAACTCCTGCAGCTACTTAACTTGTTCTCAAATTTCATTTCATAAGTACCTTTTTATAATGCTCGGTCATCCTCAAATCTGGATCTCTGATGACTGAACAGTCCACCTTTCTGTCCAAGCTCACTCCTCATGAAGTCGTGCAGGACCCATGCTTCTCATCTCTTGATTATTAAAAACAATGCATACATTTGCTTGATTTGGCAGATGTGGAACAATATAGCATTTGTCAAGTTTTTAATGTCAATCACACAGTGTAATATTTTATAGGGTAATATTGGTTCATTTCCATGTATTTGATGTCAGTTAATGCTGATTGGCTGTGAAGACGGACTCTTTGCCATGGCAATCACTGCATCCCCTCAACCTCTATCTCAGTTGAGTGGCATAGAGAGTGTCTTCCAGATGAAGGCAATAGCTCCTCTTGGTATTGCCATCATGACTGTTGGTAAGTGGGACTGTAAAGAAAAAGCTTCACAGAATCATAGAGGTTGTTTTAGGAGAGTAAATGTATGATGCATGCAGGGCTGGGATTTCTCCATCATTTCTTGACCAAAACATTGTGAATTTTAGAGATTGGATTTTCATAATTTGCTACTTTTTAAAGTTTTTTGGCACAGAAAATCAAGTTAAAGTTCCACCTAATCGTAGCCATTGTTAAGAGGACTTATTGCTTATATGCTTACTTACTCCCTGAAAAGTCCCAGTAGTTGGTGACTGCCATCATTAAAACCCTGTCTACGGGATATTTCTTAGACTTTTTTCAACCCCCCCCCCATCTGACATCCACTCTGACTCCCATGTCCATTTGGACGAATTGCCATGTAACAGCTGCATGTATGTGATAAACGTAGCATTGTATTTGATGAGGTGTGTTTGTACCCTCAGGCCCTGAGCGTAGGCTGTGCTTTGCAGATCTCACTCACTTGAAGACCATGGCTAGCCAGGCTAGTGTGACAGAGGCCGTTATCAACTACACACCAATTGAAAATCTTCAGGTAAGTACGTGTGCAGCAGTCAAGATGATTCAAAGCAGACTGGTATACAAGAGCCAGCAAGACATGAAAATGATATCTAGGAGAGACAGCCCAGGCGTAATGTGAGTGGGAGGGTATGACCAAATAACTCGGTCATCATTTAATAATTGTTGCCTGCAGTGTAGGGGTCCATGGTGTTTTGTACGGCCAAGGGAGCAAATGGCACTCAAAGGCAAAGCCAAGGGTGACATTTGCCCCTGAGGGTGTACAAAACCCATGGACCCCCTCACAGCAGGCAACAATTGTTTTGTTACACCATGGTCGTAAATTACACTGGAACGGTCTTACGTGTAATATATGCATATTTTATTGCAAGATAAATTAAAATACTTTGACAAATTGAAACACGTGAACAGTAAATGAAATATTAATTTTCCCTTGCACTGGTTTATATACCATCAGAAAGTGAAGCCATGCCGTACAAAGTGAAATTTAGCAGTGAAAATATTGAAGCAGTTACTTAGAAAGCACTTACGATTTCTCAGACCAGTCTCATAGGGTTCGTGCACATGGTGTCAAGTGATGTCCATGTATGGAACTCTTCAAAAACGAAACTCAAGCGGTAAATTTAAAGGTAAAGAGTACCTGTCCCATGAGGCTTGCCTGAAGGAATAGAGTTTTGTCCCCGGCATTCGGGCAACCATTAATGTCAAGGCCTGACCACTGCATCCTTAGCTTTTCATTTCTGTGAGTTGATGTCTATAAGTTGGGTTGGTTGAAGCGAAGTTCACAGAGTGAACCTTGTGAATTTTGATTGTCAGGCCTGCCACCTCTTTGCATATGGAGTAGTCAATGGATCCCCATACATATGCGCGGCTACACCTAAGAAGATCAGCATTCTCAAATATAGCAAGTTGAATGGAGTCGCCAAGTTCTCTACCCGCAAGGTAGGCCAGAGAATTCAAGTCGCGCTGTTTTACCAGAGATTTGTAGGCATGCAAATTTGTCTTCTAAGAACAATGGGACACGTCAGTGTCTTGTTTTTATTGCTTAAAATGATGCAGATCGTTCAATGAGTGTGCAAAAGATCGCATTTCCTTTTTCATTGATGCATTTGTTAAGCTCATTACATATTTTGTCCCAGTGTTTTCGGGATCCTACAACATCAGAATCATTGCGAAGACCAAAGTGTTGTAAGGGACACTTTCAAGGTGGCTTTCTGTTTAGGTCAGATACTGACTTTTGATATTGGCTTGATACAGACATTTTGGTTTAGGCCTGAGGTAGAAATTTTGTTATAGGTGTTGTTGAACGGCCTGATATTTTAGCCTAATAGCAATGCCCTCTGGAAACTCCCAACAAAGGTTCTATATTTCCTTAGTAATAAACAATTTCCCACAATGAAATACCAAGGCGTTTACTAGTGCATGTAAAGAATATCTGAGGATGCTAGCCATTGAAGTCAGCTCTGAATATGTTTTCATATTGTATTGACTCAGCATCTACCATCTTCGTGTTTGTCTTTGGCAAGCCACAATGATTTCTTTCAAATAGTTTGCAAATATAGCGTCCTCTTTCCAGAGGTCCTCTTTCCAAATTTCTGGATTCTCATCTCTCTTTAATGCAGTAACAACTCAAATAAAGCTGTGGCGAGGTGGCATTTGTTTTCTCATGGGTAGCCCATTCAAAAGAGCTGTTGTATGGTCTTCATAGTTGGCGCTAAATATCTGCTTGTTATCTCTTGTAGGAGATCAACACATCAGAACCATGCAGTTGTTTGTCATTCACACCAAACAGCCTGCTTGCTGGAACTGATCGCTTCTATCAGATTGACCTAGACAGCTATCAAGTCGACGGTGAGAATTTTGGAGATACACTTACACTTTTGAGCACAGAAATCACCGAGATCATGATAATGGTTAATTGAGTTTGGAGTCAGGGGTGAAATGCAGCAGCTGTTGAATTGCTGCTCAAAATGTTTGAAAATGCAACACCATTCAGATTGATAAAACAGCAGTAATTGAATGGGAAGGGTAATTTTCAGATTGGACCGAGAAATTTGTTAAGTCACTTTCTGAACACAAGTTTGGCAGAATATTTGCAACATTAAGAAGAGGTAAATGCCATCTTGCAACGTGTTAACAGCAACAGACTTTGTATCCATTTTTTGTTTCTACACTGAGGACTTCTGTTTACTTCGTGTAGTGTGTAGAATCGCTCTTGTATCAGAGAGAACATGTCAGGGTTAACACCATCAAGGAGTCACATAACATACTTTACTGTGCCGTCTTACAGAGTTCCTGGATTCCACTGACACATCCTTGGCATTTGCCGTCTTTGGAGCAAGTCAAGTCAACAGTTTCCCAATTGCGGTGGTGCAGGTTGCCCCTGATGGCTTTGAAAGAGAGTATCTGCTCTGTTTCCATGGTAATACAAAAGACCCTCAAAAGCATGTCGTAGACCTTTAAAAAAATAGCAATTTGTAATGACTAAAAAAACAAAAGTAGATTTCCTTGATTAGCAATCAATACATTCATGCACAAAATTAACTTAACTGTTCCACAGAGAGAATGTGGACCCAAAGACATGAAGGACCATTGGAAATGAAGTGTTTACAGAATACATGTGGAATTCCCTTCTTTGTCACTTTGTTTTTAGTTTGTGTGGCTATTTCATCGGGCACATTTTCAACAATCTTCAAAATAATGAGAAGCAAATAAGTGATTCTGGTGAAGTAAGCACACAGAATGGTGGTTTATTTGGATAGTGACGCACTCTGGATCATGCACTTTGTCCTGTGTTCTCATCATTTCTGATGTTTACCCTCCATCTTGAGCTGAAGTGCGCCCTCACCGGCAATGCAGAGACAGGCTAAGTTTACCAACTGCGCATACATTCCAAATGAATTGGTTGCTCGTGCTCAGTGTGTCTTGGTACCAGACAGACAAAACCTGTGCGCATGCATACAGTGAGTTGCCACTGTAATCTCCACATGAAAACACACCCTCTCTTTTTTCCTCTTGGAGTAGATTGTTGTCGGAGAATCATTATAAAATATCATATGATATTGATTAACTGTTATCAGTAGCATTGTTGATAATTTTTATTTCAACTTGCAGAATTTGGTGTGTTTGTTGATGGCAAGGGGCGGCGTACTCGACCTGAAGATATGAAGTGGTCTCGCCTACCATTAGCTTTCATGTTCAGAGGACCTTACCTCTATGTGACCCACTTCAACTCCATGGAGGTTTGTGAGATCAAACCACTGGTGGATAAGGACAGGTAACCAGTTCAGATTATTGAGTCTCAAATGAAATTGGATCAAGTAACTGGAGTTTGGCCCATCACTGACAGCTTAGGAATAATCTAGTTTACCATTCCATTTTGACCTTTAAAAGGCGTTTGCATTTTGCCTCCTCAACTCTAAATTGCCATTACTAGCACAAACAGGCCACGGTAAAAACAGGTTGTTTTTTTTTTTCAAAAAAGTAACAGTACACTTGGCCCTTTCAAACTGCCATTATTTTGTGTATCAAGTTTAGGCAAAGCCACTGGACTCTCCAACTCAATCCATTTTACTCAGGATTTTCTCTTTTTGCTGCTAAAACTCTTTATCCCAGCTAGTGTCTTCCAAACTCCTTCAGCTGAAGGAGTTTCTGCTAAATTTTTACTGTTGAGAATTTTGCTTAGTGTAAAATGTGTCCTTATTAAGGTAGCATTATTGGAAATTGAATTTGTGGATTGGTGTTCAAGGCGTTTATGCTTTGTAGCTTACTGAAGTAATTTGAATAAACAAGACGGGACAAATTGTCAGCTGGGATACACAAGAATTTGCCTCATTGCTAAACTTTTAATTGTTTTGTGGCAGCCTTACTGGAAAAGCTGGGCATGCATTAATCTCAACTCTGAATGTCTATAGAAATACATGTATATCTGTCTGGTAAGATCAATGCTAGACAACCAATGCCATCTCTACCATTGGGTCCTATGAATATAAAGTAGCATTTGCTTTTACTACCATTTTTGAAGCATTTACTCGTGTTTGTATGAATAATAATGAAGCAAATGCTTTCACTTTATTGCAGTCGCTAAAAAGTGAAAGTATTTACTTTTTACTCTTTAAGCTTGTGCTCGACAATAAGCAGTTGCTTCATTTTGTATGAACAAAAAAAAGTTCTACACAACTGGAGTATTTACTTGACATTTTTCAAGACTGGGTTAGGGCAAGCTTGAAAACGAGGAGTATTTGCTAATGTTCAAAATGGCAGCGTTCATGAATGTCATTCGAAAGGAAAAGCTGAATGCTATGCCTTTAGGAGGGAATCTCAAGAAACCAGGTGAAGGCAGTTGTACCGATTTGAGAGTGGCAGAGCAATTTTCTTCATCAAGGTTTTTGCGATCAAAATTACTGTCCTCTTGTTTATCTGCCATGCTGAGGTCTCAAGATACAACACCATGCTGCACTCTGTGTACCTGTCCGTGCAGACAACGGAAGCCCTCTTGTACAAAACTATTTGGCTGTGCAGTCAGCCACAAGCATAAAGCATTTGCTAATATTTATACTAATAGATACTGAATAGTAAAAGAAACATTTTTATACATACAAATTCAAGCATTTGCTTATTCTTAATGGTTTTACTTCTCAGTAAATGCTTTTCCTGTTTGCTTGAACTTGATAGCATTTGCTATTTGTCTGTCCTCTTTTTGTAGCGCTGGAATTCACACCTTCCTAGATCTCCCCAGTCCTCGTCTGGTTGGCTGGGGTATCACTCAAGGCACCTGCTATGTCACATCAACCACTGATAGCAGGCTAGACCTGATATGTCTGAAGGGACATACAGCCCAGGCTAAACCACAGGATTCTGATGGGTATGAGGAGCCTAGAAGGTCCCACAGATTACAGAGGGGATCCAGTGGTAGCACAGCCAGCAGCTGGTAAGCTCATCAAGGATTGACCATTCATAAACATCAGTTCCAACGGACTACCAAATACATGTAGTAATTGTGTTGTTAAATCACTTCGTGTTGCTTGTGTGGAAAAGGGTTGGTCTCAAGTAAAGAAGGCAGTTATTGACTGTGCTGATTTGTGAGTTTTCTGTGAAGAAACACGCAGAAACTACAAGGGTGACTGTACATATTCCCACAGCCACAGGAATAATTATTTTGATCATTTTCTCTTGAAAACAAACTATTCAACTTGCCGAAATGTCTTTTACTTTGGATTTGTCTTGCACAAATTACTTTTACTTTTATACTCTGACGGTTGTGAGCATTCAGTCAGCTTGCGGCAGAATGGTGGCAGCTCACACCCCTGTAGAATGTGTTACATACACATGTACATGTAATCAATGAGCCATTTTGTCGTTGCAATAGCGCATGCAAAAAGCATATCAAATATCATTCAGGATCAGCAATATGCAGTTCAGCCTAATCAGCATAGCTGTGTGCAAACTCACACGGGCTAAACATGTTCTTGAAATACTGAATTGGCTTACTATCAGGGAAGTAGCAATGACTAGGTCATTCTTACATAACACTTCAATGCTAAATTTCTCCCTTAATGGTTACAGCTCTTGATTAACTGCTTTAACTCTAAAAGAGCCGGGCTTTTTGGCCTATCTCACAGCTGGGGGGCGGGGATTCTCCCCCCCCCGTAAGTAACTTGGCTGTGCATCTCAATTTTTTTTAAAAAATTTGGTACGCATGTAAAGATACGCCTTATCATTACAAATGTGAAGTTTGAACTCAGACATTTAGTTTTGTTGATACGGTCATTTGAAATTCAAGGCTACCTGCATGCCTGCCCGCGGGGCATTGAGCGCCACAGTGGAAAAAGTGTACATTTTGGGCTGACCTGTCTCCGAAAAATGCACACTGCACAAGAACAGTATGTCTGATCTTCACAAAATTGGTATCAAAATAACCACGAAAAGTTACTTTCAAAACTCCTAACGGCTTAACTCCTGGAAGTGCCTGCGTCACTATCGGGGTGGATTCCAACCCCCCCCCAGCTCTTTTTAGGGTGAAGATTGTTTACATCTAAAGCCGAGTGGTACCAAGTGTCATATTTATAAAAAAATCCTCTTTGATACTGTTTAAAATGATACTCAAACAATTAACATGTGTCACATTGCCAAAACCCCTGAATTTTTAACCGCTTCCTATACTTTACCACTAAGTTGTAAGTACTAATATTTTTATACAAAGTTATGATTATAGATCCACATTTGGACTTTAATTGGGAGTCATCATCAATTTGCTGCTGTGCGTGTTTGATGGGATTGGTTGAATGTCATGATGGAACACCACTAACTGACAACGATGGCATGAATATTCAGCTTCCTATACTGCAGTACACAACGTTTTAGAGATGCCGATTACCAACCAAAACTTGCGGCAATGATCACAAAGGGGACTTATGGTTGCAAAACAGGTGGTGCATAGCAAGCATGCGCTGCGCTCTGGCTAGGGACATACCAGGCAATGCCAGGAAATGGTAATTGGCCAGATGTTAGAGCCCGGGCAGTTCAGACTCCTTCTGTGTCCTTCCTCGATGGAACCACTATGCCAACCTGACTATATTATGATTATGATTAGATTAGATTGGATTGGATTGAATTGGATTGGGTTGGGTTGGGAATTTTATTGTCCGCATCATAAAGAATAAAGAAATTTTGTTTCCATTGGCACATCCAAATATAAAAATAGGTACTTAAAAATAGACAACAATTTACAATATTTTACCTACAAGATAACCTACTAAAACAAATTAACTCAAATAAAAATTATTAACATACAAATAAAAACCTACCAGAAAAGCCAAAAACTCTTCCCGTGTAGGGGAGCTCCTTAATTAGATCCTTTAATTACGAACAGCTGATTTGTTAAATAAATGAGTTGGGAACAAAGAATTGCCTGTGTCGAGTTAGGTTTGTACAAGGCACACAAAGTCTAAAAACGGATCTATTAAAAACAAAACACTCCAAAAGTGGATGAGTTGGATCTGATAGAATGACATGTACCTTAGATATTACACGTTCCAAGTAGATATTGTTATTTGTTGGCAAGGTAAGACCTACCGAGCGTTGAGCCGTTTTACAAACACGCTCAAAACCTATCCCTGTTTTTTTGTAAAAGTGAACCATACACACCAATTATGTTAAAAGTAACAATGTGATAGTGAATGTGATAGTCCCTGAGGGCAGTGCTTCATATGATCTACATTTGTATTGTTTTGTTTTCTTCAGTTCATTTAAGCGGCCTTTGTCAGAGGACTCAACCAATCAGCGTCCAGCTAAGCTTCCACGTAGCTCCTCTGCCAATCAGAGCTCCAGTATGCTGAGCTCGTCTTCTTGCTCCAGCTCTGCCTCTTCATTGGCTGGCAACCTGCGACGATCCCCACGCTTTAGGAACATGTCTTCCTCAGATGAAGAGTCTACTACCAGCTGTAGCTCACTGCAGAAAATGTTCACACCCAGCAAGCAAAGCAGGTTTACAGCTGTGTGATGGACTGACTAGGATGAAAGCATGATGTACCAAACATCACAGGTTTCACTAGCATCCATCATAGGGGATATATGAAGGTGTACCAGTTGTTTATGAGTACAAACAACCTGTGCTGTACAGAAGAGGTATTCTACATTTAAATTGCATATGCATATCTTTGGTCCCTGACCATGCTCAGCAATTATGTAAATCCTCAGCTTGACTTCCATATTTTGACCAATCAGTATCCATGTATTACAGGCCTTCGTCAGAAAACTTCATGGCAAGTATAGGGAAAAGTGTTTTAATAGATCACATTGTATGGTCATGTGACACCTACTAACCAATCAACAGCTTTTGTAAATTTCTGCTCAAAATGGCATTGCCCAAAACTTTGAATGTTATCAGATACTGTTTAAGAGTGGTCACATGCTCCATTGAACAACAATTGACAGCCTTACTGACTTACTGTAAGTAAGTTACTGATGTAAATATTAAAATGGCCAATATACCCGTGATTGCACTGCTGCCTAACACAGTCAGAGATAACTTACAGGCACTATATCATGCATACATTATGTCGCTATACATACAGATATTGCATTGCTTGTGGAAAGGAAATGAGATGCATTTAATGGCAAAAATCTGTGGAAATTGACAATTTGAAGTGGATTTCACGAGAACCACACTTTGTATATGTATGTATTTGATAACCATAGGTTTGCCCTGTACTAGCACTTTGATTCCTATTCAGTAGATTGCATAGTAGCGCCACTATAGTAAGGCAGTGTTATTTCCATGCGATTGCTTTTACATGATGTACCAGTAATGTGAGAGCTATTTTGATTTTTAAAAACATTTTACTTGCATTCTGAAAACAACTTGAGTTTTGCTTTATAATTTTAGTGTTTCTTTTACTTGACTGCGCTTGTGTGAACATGCATGAATGGTACCATATGCTCAGAAAACCTGGCACGAAAAAGTCCAAGTACTTCTTCCGTGCTAGAATGGGTTCAATATTTGCATTAGAAGAGCACAATCCCCTCCTATCGTAGCAGTTGTATATGTATTGATATAAATAATGCAATTATTAAATGGCACTCAATGATTAAACTAAGATATGCATTTTCAATAAGATTATTTGACGTGACATCTTCAAAACTAGTCTAGTAGATTCCAAACCAAAATGCCCTTTGACCTGGGCAGTAAAAGCTGTGGGTTTTTTGGTTTGTTCTTTTTTTTAAATGATTATTATTGTTTTTTTTAACTGGTAAAAGTGTTTGAATGCTTTCTTCCTGGTGAGTGTGTTCAGAGAAATCAATATATGGGAAAGTGCTTAGAAGATAACTTTGAAATGCTGGTTTTGAATGCAATTTTATTTCTTTACAGTTTGATAAAAGCCAAGGTTCAGACCATTGTTGGTAACCGCCTTTTCAAGTTTAAACCACACACTTGGAATGGTTTCAACACACTATTACCCCTTCAGGTTTGAGAAAATAAGGTCTTGCAAAATACCACCATATAAATTGTAAAAATGTTATTTGAAGCTCACTCTCCACTTTGTCAAGAATTCAATCCTTATTACAGTGTGAGCTTGCTGTGGAAAAAGTATTATTTTTGTAATATGCATATGGCCAATGGAACATCACTCAATCAAACTTCTTTTCTTTTACCAAATGGAACATTAAAAACCACTCAAGGAACTTCTAGTTACAGTTGTGGTTCTTACCAGTATGTATTTGAGTTCTTACCAAACGTTGAGGTGTATGTTTTAATGAAGAAGTTTCTGACGGGTCCATATCTGGGGCCCCTTACCCAAGGAAGAATCTTTATTACATGGAGTTGGGAGGAATTGCTGACCATGCACTTTTTGCTGTTCTGTTTTCTGTGGCTGATTGTGCATTTCTTCGTTTGAGTTAGAGTGTACATTCACCCTCGGCGGCCTCCACTTGTGATATAGACGCCACAGGACCATTTCTATCGAGAACTTCACCAGGATTCTCATGATAATTGTGGAATTCCAACTGAACTTTGCTCACATCATGCTTAGTGCCCAGTGAACCACTGCAACTTCACAATGGCTATTTATCTACGTAAGCTGCTATTGCTGGTCACACCCCTATTCATCAGCCATGACTACATTCAATTTAATTTGAGCGCTTGAGGTTCAAAATCGGAGACTGATTTTGGAGACGAAGCCTCCGGCAGGTGAATTTGCCAATAGTTTTGATTTAAATTAGGCACCCTCCAAATCACGAATGATCTTGTATAGTTTTGACTGCAATCTGGCCATCAATGCGTATAAATGTCTGAGGTCTCACTTCTCAGGGGGTAGGGAGACAAACTTGCCTGTAGGGGGACAGATTTAACTTGGTAAATGTGCCCCCCAAACACTTTTAATGGAGTGCAATCTGGAGTACACCCCCACTGTGTAACGCGGAGAGCTTTAATGCAGAAAGCTATCATCCTACATTAAATTAAACTGTTCTAAAGTTTCCTGTTTAGTTAGGCTTTATGCAGAAGCAGGAAAAAACGGATCGCAAGAATGAAACATTCCTGGGCTCCTTACAACAACTGATTAGTACGATTAAACAAGATTTTTGTGTGACTACATGCAAAAGTATGATAAACTACCTGGGAAAGATTCTTGATCAGTCACCATTGCACAGGTGTAAAATTCGTTCGGCAACGAGAATAACGACAGCCATGCCAGAAACTCCTCCCAACATCAAGAAACATGCGTCGTAACTGCCAGTGGCATCGTAAACGATACCTGCATTGAGAGGACATCAGAAATATATATGCCCAATATAGGTTTCCACAGTTATTTTAATACCAGTATTACACAAATTCTCTAGAATGACCTTTAATTTGGTCCCTGAACATCGTCGATAGCGATTCCTAATTTCAAAAAGTCCCAAAAATATTTCATTCGATATTTACTAAAATTCAAATGTGTAGCATTCTAAATCGGCGTTGTTAAAGAATTTTATTTATGTCAGTACGTTGATCATTTAAATTAAGATCCATTCTTTGTATTTCCTGGCTCACAAAGGTTTAATAATATCCTGCACTTTCTTGTTGCTGTTAAAGAGAAGAGATTGAGGCTGAAAACGATGACGTTCGTGATTTAATACAAGGAATTCCAAATAAAGATCAGTATGCACTATCTTCCTATGGTTTCTTACAACAATTTTGTTTATGCAGCAAACTGTTAGACTGTTAGGCCTAATTTTCACATTAGAATCGATTACAATCAAAACAATAATTAAGGTTCTTTGGCTTATTTACCCAAACGAAAATTGTGTACACTAGTCCAATCTTGATTTTTTTGTGCTAATGTAAGGGTAAAGAATGGAAAAGCAAGTACATGTACCTGCAACCCCCCCACCAGCCAGCTCTCCAACAGAAAAGAAAACAAGCAGTGTCCCCCATCCTTGAACGCAAAGATCTTCAGTCAAGACTTGCTGTGCCACTAGGATAAATAGCATGGCCAACGTCGGAATACAAAGGCCATTGAAAAAAAAACAAGACACACGAGTCCCGGGTAGTTGCCAGAGACTAAAGGGTCAAGTACGAACGCAAGTACATTGATAAAAGCAAGGAGGGTGTAAAGCTGAACCGCTGTGACCCATCCAGGATGCATAACAAGTCCTTGCATTTTCCGGCCGACTACAGTTCCTACCCCGCCCGCGGAGGATAGGAAGCTTGCTTGCTGGTTAGCAATACCTCTCGCAATAGCATGAGGAACCAGATAGATCATCCAAGAGCTGTACATGATGCCAACCAGAAAGCTAACGAAGGCTTGGATAGCAAATTTCGGTTCATACCAAAGCACGTCCAAGGCCAAGACCCGACAAATACCCTTGACAACGAACGTGATGCCTTTCCACACTTTGTTTTCGTCGTCATGACTTTTGCTTTTGCTTGATCCTTCATTCTCCAGAGCCGTGTAGGCCGCTGGAGCTTGCTTGATGAGAGCACCAAGAACACAAATCTGAGCGTTCAGAGCTGAAAATAACAACATTGCTCCACGCCAACCGTAGATTTCGATCAGGAATTCCGCAAGGGGTGGGCATATCATCATTCCTACACCAGCTCCCGTTCCGACTATGCCCAAAGGAAGAGCTGATTTGGTTCGAAAATATGGAAGTATCGAAACAATAGGAGGTCCGTAGCTCATGGCACTACCAGTTCCTGTCAAGACAAGAATACAAAAAAAGACAAGAATAAACAAAACCAAAACAAAAGACTAAAAGAGCAACAAACATTAGTAAATACTCTCAAAATGTTTGCATCACGGAAATAGTGGGTTTCTTCTGACTGCATGAAAAACGAAAACTTCGAAATCCATACAAAAATTTTACCTTTGCCTTCAAACTGAACCTATTTGACTTTGAGGTATTTTTAACGTGATCTGGGACCCATTTTTAGTTTCAACGATGTTTAATTCTATAACAATTCCAGAGCATCGGGGCATTTTAGTGTTCATTGACATCACAAGAATCTGTTAATTAATCGAGAATCCCCTATTGTGTGTTTTAATTGTATAAAGTTGGTCGTAAATACTTGGTGTTTCGAATGTTGCAGCAGTTCCAATATTTTGGAGTGGTATTTAGGTAACATTTTCTTTCAAAACCGTACTGTGATTGACACTGCAATAATACCGATATTTTCTACGGGTGAGCAGCGACATTTTGGAAGTGCAGGCTACTGCGTTTGTTTAAGAGAGTGATTCCTTTGTTGTGCGGGAGTCAAGGGACTGTTGAAGTGTTCAGCCAAATGACAAGGAAAACTGCTTGAGACCTGAAAATCAAATCTGTCAGTTGAGCCTGCCGCACGTGTATTGCCTGGTATAGAGCGCGAAGTATGTATGACACTTTACACCGTACCCGCGGGTACCAGTCCCAGGCCACACTTTCTCTGCATGCACGATGTTCATGTACAAGCCACAACTTTTCACCGAGTTCATGTTCATGTTGTTCATGATGTTCATGTACAAGCCACAACTTTTCACCGAGTGAATTGTTTTTTCATGACTGGCTAGAATGAAAGTTTGCAGAAAGGACTTTTTCACCACAAATCACAACGGTGTTGATTGAATAGGAACACATCATTTACGCTTTTCTTTTCGCAAAAACAGGGGTTGATAAACAGGAGGGAAGTGTATCTGTATAAAGTTACACAAATGGCCTGTTGTCCATCTTTGAAGACAGTATCGAATAAAATATTAACCGAAAGTTTTTCTCTTTGTTTGAAATACACAAGTTAGTTGGGGGTAGTTTTCTTGAAAGCAAAAACGTTTGAAGGCTCCCCTGTTCTCTACTGATACCTCCACGAGATGTTCATCACTGCTTCCATCTATTTTGATTAAATTAACTCTTTCGTTTTGTGTCTAACGGCGACAGGCTCAATTTGTTTTGCGTTATCGTACGCACTTGATGTCTATTGGATCTAAACGACTGTTGTTTAAAATAGCTTTGGCACTGTTCAAACAGGCAATTTTTATAATTTTCGAGCGACAGTTCTTTTTCGTCACGACTTTCGTAACCCCTTTAGCTTCTTCAAAATTTGATCTTCCGTCAAAAGGAATACATTTTGGGATGTAAGCAGATGGCTTCCGACACGGGTATGCCGCCGAATTCGTCTTTCATCTTACCGATGACTTTTTTGCTTTTGGCGTTGTATAACGTGTGATCCGTCGGATAACTACTCAAATCGAATTGATCTTTATTTCGATTGATGTATGCATATATGTCGTCGGTTTCGACATGTATCAACAACGAATCTGTACCAGTGTACATCAACTTCATTTTGTCTCCAAAATCTCATTTCAACGTATTATAAAAAAATTATACATTAACGTTTTGGACAAATCCAAGATGTAAATGCCGCAATAGATGGGTTTGTTCAGATTCGTTATTTTGTACATGTCAACAAACGAGAGATCGCACCCGGAGAACACCGTCGTTGTTTTTGTAATTCGGTTGGCTGGACAATTTTGTAAAACGTTTGGTATCTACATTTCGCAAAAGATGAAAGGTTAACTCGTTCGCGCTGATTCTCCATCGTTTTGCCAAGTACCGAATTGTTCATCAACTTGAAGAAATCTTTTTCAAATTTGAATCACCACGTTTTCGCAATTCCGTGTTTTTGTCGATGTAGCTTTTCATCCAAGGCGCTTGACTGAAAGACATAACGCGATGAACTTCTTTTAGTTGGAGTGCCAATTTTAACGAGAGCTGCAAGGTTCGATAATGTAATTTATATTTTGTTTTGGATGTAACGTGGCCACGAGTTTGTTTACCGAATCAGTTTTTAACAAGTTTTGATCAATCAATTCTTTTTGATAGTCAGACATCCATTCATTTGGAATCGGAATGTTCTCGGGCGCCAGAGGGAAACTGTTGTATAAATCATGTAAGTGTTCAGGATAAGCAAGCGTTACTTCGAACATGTATAGCCAGTTTTAGAGTATGGCCAAAGCTTTCGAATATACTCAGAAGTAAACTAGTCTAAGTTTTGTTTCCACTGAAAGTTTCCAACGGGCAAATATTGGCTCATGGTCAACCCGTATAACTTATTTTCATCGAGGTACTCTATATACGACGTTCGTTTTTCTGGGTCGTAATCGAGTAAATATTTGTTATTTGCTTTTGCGTAACGAACGCCTCCTACGCTCAAAATGCCGCCGCGTTTGGCACATTCA